AAGAAGAAGAAGAAGAAGAAGAAGAAGAAGAAGAAGAAGAAGAAGAAGAAGAAGAAGAAGAAGAAGAAGAGGGGGAAGGGGGAAGGGGAAGAAGGAAAGGAGAAGGAGAGGAGGAGGAGGAGGGGAGGAGGAGGAAGAAGAAGAGGAGGGGGAGAGGAGAAGGGGATGGGGAAGGGGAAAAAGAAGAGGGGAGGAGGAGGAAGAAGAAGAGGAGGAAGAGGAGGAGGAGGAGGAGAGGAGGAGGAGGAAGAAGAGGAGGGGAGAAGGCGAAGAAGAAGAAGAGGAAGAGGAAGAAGAAGAAGAAGAAGAAGAAGAAGAAGAAGAAGAAGAAGAAGAAATAATGTAGTGAGTCACAAGGCAGTCAACTCTGACAAGTTCTAGCTTGTGCGTTGAGTACCAAACAAACAACAAGTAACAGGACAAAAATGGTCATATCAAAATGCACCGAGTACCAAATCAGGATGAGTTTCAAAGCAGTTGAGTACCAAAGTACCACTTAGTAAACTTAATACGGTATTTAATAAATCCTGCTATCTGTTTTAATGTCCGCAACAGATTTTTGTTTCTTAGTACGACAAGGAATTTGACTCCAACATTAAATTTGCATTGTGTGTCTAATTGGTTGACAGAATCATTTCCTGCTTCTGTTCAGTGTCTAAGGCTCGTGTGACCTAAAAATAATAATAATGAAGGAAGCCATTCACTGCCTTGAAACTGGGAAAGCCCTGGGGAAACTCCCATTACCAGGCCTTGTAAAAGAATGACTTCATTATCACCCATCAGTCTGCTCAGCAAATGTTGAAATAAGTGGGCAATTCTAAAAAAAAATAAAAAAAAATCTCTCTTTGTCTGCTCATCTCAATTTCCCCAAATTTGGCCACAAGCAATATTTCCAAAGAGGCGGCTTGAAATATTTTAAAGGTGGAACAAATGCCTTAGGGCATTGATGCTCTCTGAGCTTGTTTCCTGGCAACGTTTCATTACCAAACTAAGTAACTTCATCAGTGCTATTGATCCATTCCTATGAGAACTGATGAGGTTGCCTAGTTTGGGTATAAGAAAACATCTGCAGGAAAACTGCCAAGTTTGGTGAGGAGCAAAGAGTCTTCATTTCAACCCTAAGCTACAGATAAGATACACTCTTTTTTACGATTAATGTTTACGAAAAATTAATCCCTTAATTTTTAGCTAAGAAATTAAAAGACGTTTGCTCCTGGGGAGGAAAGCTATGGCAAATCTAGACAGAATACTAAAAAGGAGAGACATCATCCTGCCAACAAAACAGTCTATAGTCAAGGCTATGGTTTTCCCAGTTGCAATGTATGGCTGTAAGAAAGGCTGAAAGAATTGAGGCCTTTGAATTCTGGTGCTGGAGAAAACTCCTCCGAGTCCCTTGGACTGCAAGGCCATCAAACGGGTCAGTCCTAGAGGAGATCAACCCTGACTGCTCTTTAGAAGGCCAGATCCTGAAGATGAAACTCAAATACTTTGGCCACCGAATGAGAAAGAGGGACTCACTGGAGAAGAGCCTCATGCTGGGAAAGATGGAGGGGCAAAAGAAGAAGGGGACGACAGAGAATGAGGTGGCTGGATGGAGTCACCGAAGCGTGAGCTTAAATGGACTCCAGAAAATGGTAGAGGACGGGAAGGCCTGGAGGAATTTTATCCATGGGGTTGCGATGGGTCGGACATAACTTTGTAACTAACAACAACAATCCTTTAATTTGGGGTAGAATCGGAGCAACTGGATGGAGCTGAGCGTTTACCAGCCGGATGCCCTTCCTGATGCCACACAGAGTTCAAAGCAGGTATTTTTTTCCTTGCTACCTAGGATTGAACTCTCAACCTTCCGAGTGGGAGGTGAGTGTCTTCACCACTAAGCCACACTGCGCTCATTCCACACCTACAAATACTCTCCTTTATTGGTATCTTAGATGTCATAAAAGCTTGCTCCTTGGCAGGGGTTTTCTTGTTTAGGCCAGTGATGGCTAACCTTTTCGAAAGCAAGTGCTGAACCATAATGCAATGGGCGAGCACACACACGGGGGAGGTCATGGGGGAGGGGGGCACGTGCGTTGCATTATGATTGTGGCATTGCATTATGGTTCGGCACTCACTGCTGAAAAGGTAGACACCACTGGCATAACTGTCTTGGGCACCTCCTCTAGAATACCAAGAAGCAGATTTTGAAAGTTATCTAATAATACAGTATTTTTTGGAGTATAAGATGCACCGGAGTACAAGATGCATCAAGAGGCAATTTTTTAAAAAAAAGTTTTTGCACTGTGCAAACCTCTCAAAAAGGGCCCGTTTTTTGTCAAAAAAGGGGGACATGGCATGGATAGTCTTTAGGAAGCTTATAGAGTGCTCCTGAGGACTGGGGTGTGTGTGGCAAGATTGAGAAAAAAAATGGCCTGTTTTTTGCTCAATTCTGCCCCCCCCCCCAGTCCCCAGGAGCACTCTATAAGCTAACCTTCCTAAAAGCTATTCACGGCCAGTTTGGTGAAGGGGGTGGGATTTCGGGAAGCAAAAAATGCTGTACTCAGTGTATAAGACGCACCCAGATTTTCAGCCTCTTTTTTGATGGAAAAAGGTGCGCCTTATACTTCGAAAAATACGGTAATTAAAAATCTGATGATTTTGAACAGGTGCTATGCAATGCTAGCTATCATGGAGGGTGTCATTTCCATTCCAAACAGAATTGCTCTATACCCACTCTCAGGTGCACTGATATCTATGTTCGTTTGGTGGATCTACCCCCTGAATTAAACAAGCAACATCCAACCTGTGCAGTAACAGAAAACATTTACTCCAGTAGAAGAGAATCTCACAATGGGGCAAACTCAAAACATAGTTTCAAGTGGAAGCTTGGCGTTCAGACAAATCAGCCATCAATAGACTAACAGTGATATGCCATACTTATGCACCATTCAAAAGAGACAGTAAAAAGCTAAGAAGGGAATAAAAGAACCAGTATGCATCCTTTCCAGCAACCAAAACCCATAGAAGCAGGGATTAACACCAGACAAACAAGCAGAAAACAATATCGCAATCAGGAAGAAAGCACGTTCCCACCAACACTGACAGGGTAATCTAATGCAGTGGTCCCCAACCCCCGGTCCGCGGACCGGTGCCGGGCCGTGGAGTACCTGGCACCGGGCCGCGCAGCGGCCGGGGGCCATGATCGCTCTTTTAAATCCGCTCCTCTTAAATGCATTTCTCTCCCCGCCCTTTGGTCCCACCCTCGGCTCTTTCTCCCTTCCTCCCTCGCCGTCTCCTCCCTTCTCTCTCCCCCCCTCCCGCACCGATCCATCGCCAGGGAAAGAGAGAGTGAGAGAGTGAGAGAGGAGAGAGAGAGGGAGAGAGGGAGGGAGTCAAGAAAACTGTTCCGGCCGCCGCTGAAATGACTCAGTAACTTTTGCGCTTGGATCTGCTTTTTCAAACCTCCCCCAATCATCATCGCCTTCCTTCCCGCCCTGCCGCGCTTGGTCTGGCTCTTTTCTTTTTTTGCTCTCTCCTCGGCTTTTCCTGCTTTCTCCCTGCAATTTTGTCACCCAGATGCATGCTGTGGTTCGCGAGTGCGGCTCGGTTTTATGTGTCCGCTTATGTAATTGTATTTTATTTTGTAAGGCATGTTTAAATACAATAAAATAAAAGTTGTTTAATCAAAACAATCTGATATATAAACAATCAATGTGTCGTTGCGAACAACACCCCCCTACCCCTGCGCGCGCTCAGCGGGCCACGGTAAAATTATCAAAGGCTGACTGGTCCGCGGCGATAAAAAGGTTGGGGACCACTGATCTAATGGATGTAAACAGGGGACAACCCCCACACTTACTAGCACTGAGGACATTACCTGATTGGGTAATGAAACGTCCGTAAGCAAACAACCAAGCTTTGAAAGCACCAAAAACGCCAGGAAACATCGATTGCTTTTAGTAACCAATCCAACAATGGAGCTCACCTGTCATCATATGGGACAATGCCTCTCCCGTCGATTTTACGGGATGGTGTAAGGGATAGGATACTTAGGTCGTGCAGCTCGGTCAAGAAGTGCCTCTCTGTGATTGGGGAAAGGATAGGGAAGCAGGAAAAAATATACAGTGGTCAAAATACACTAGTAGACTTGCTCATTGTTTGCATTTCAGCGTAAATGAAGTACTACTAGATGTCAACAAGATGTCTTCCTTAAGGCATCCATGAAGGACTGTAGCAGTATCCACCAGAATGGTTGAAGAATTAGGGAGGCTCAGATCGAAATATTCAGCCACCCTCAATTTGTGAATCTGATTGGTTGATGAGTTCCACTCTCAATCTATGCTGATGAGTTCCACCCTCAGTCTAGCCATCTGATATATTGATGTGTTCTACCTTCAATCTAGGCATCTGATTAGTTAATGAGTTCCACCCTCAATCTAGGCATCTGATAGGCTGTTGAGTTTCAATCTAGGCATCTGGTTGGTTGATAAGTTCCACCTTCAGCCTAGGCATCCAATGAGCTGATGAGTTCCACCTTCAATCTATGCATCTGTTTGGTTAATGAGTTCCACCCCCAATCTAGGCATCTGATTGGCTGATGAGTTCTACCCTCAATCTAGGCATCTGATTGGTTGATAAGTTCCACCCTCAGTCTAGGCATCTGATTGGCTCCTTGATCTCACAAGAAAATGGAAAAGGGCATGGGGAGAGAGGACCCCATTGAAGGTATAAACATGCTTGAACCACATTCCACATGGTAACAAATCAGTGAGCAACTATTTTTTAATATTAATATTTACTAGAAAATCCAGTGTGGGAACATCTAGCTTCCCTTTCCCTAGATTATTAAACCGGTACAAATGCTTCTCTTTCGATCATGCTGTTGGAAGTTCTCCATTACAACGTTTAAAAAACAACAACAGTGTCCCCATTTTTATTCATTTGCCCATATGTAGATCTGATAGGTTTTTCAGCTATCACAATTGATTAAAATTCCTGCAGGGAATCAGCCAAAAGGTGGCTAAGTTGTTTGCTTTGGAAAACAAAAAACAAAAAAGCAAAAACTTCTCACCTCTCACATTAGAATCTTTTTCCATTCGGTAAGCGGGAACTAAGACATTCACTTCGCGGTGGCCTCGGTCCCAGAAATACTGAACGGCTAGGGCGATTCCTCGGCACGAGAAGAACTGGTTCAGACCGTGCCTGAGAACAGAAACCAGGTAGAGATTTAGATCTACGAAAGTCTAAGGACAGGGAACACGGTGGTTCAGTGGCTAAGACACTGAGCTTGTTGATCAGAAAGTTCGGCAGTTCGAATCCCTAGCGCCATGTAACGGAATGAGCTCCCATTAAGTATCCCAGCTTCTGTCAACCCAGCAGTTCGAAAGCATGTAAAAATGCAAGTAGAAAAATAGGAACCACCTTTGGTGGGAAGATAATAAGTGCCTTCGATATTTAGTCATGCCGGCCACATGACCATGGAGACGTCTTCAGACAGCACTGGTTCTTCGGCTTTGAAATTGAGATGAGCACCGCCCCCTAGAGTTGGGAATGATTAGCACATATGTGCGAGGGGACATAAATGCCGAAAGCGCACAGAACGCTGTTACCTTCCCACCAAAGGTGGTTCCTATTTTTCTACTTGCATTTTTTAACGTGCTTTCGAACTGCTAGGTTGGCAGAAGCTGAGAGAAGTAATGGGAGCTCACTCCGTTACACAGTGCTAGGGGTTTGAACCCCCAAACTGCCAATCTTCTGATCGACAAGTTCAGCATCTTAGCCATAAGGTATAATATATAATAGATATAAAAATCTGGTGCACACTTTCATCCCAAATTTCTCCCTTTTTTTTGGCAAGTGAATTGACCTCATCTCGTTAGCAGCGAGAAGAGTTTACTCCTCGACCCAGCTACCCGGATTAACCACAATGCTCTTTATAAAGTATGATTTGATATCACACCTTGAAAATACATTCAGATCAGATCAGAATAGGGCCAAATCTACATCTAACTTTGGCCCAAGGGCACAGAAGCAAACCTGGCCAGCAAGGAGAAATAGGAGCAAGCAGAAGTCCTACTCTTTGCTTCACTGAGGTCTCCACGGAGATCTTATTATGTTGTATGCAAACTCTTTAAGATCTGCATGCTTCCTTCCCCTATCTAGGTTAGATGAAACGGTTAGTTTCATCTTGAACAGAGACCAGGGTTCGGAGCATCAAAGCCAGGTGAAAATGCTGAGACAAGGAATGTGGGAACCAGCAATTTCCACTTTATGGTTCAGCTGAACAGGAATGCAGCAGGAGGAGCATAGGGACATGGCACATGACACTGGTAAGCTTACCTATAGAAAGCTATACGTGACCTGGGGAAGTGATGGCTAACCTTTTTGGTGCCGAGTGACCAAAGCGAAACCCCAAAATGCAATGCGTGCGCCCCCTGCGTATGTGCCCTTCGCCCTACACATTTGCAGGTGCCCCCCTGCAAGCACCCCACCCCCCCTCATCCATTTTTGGCTTCCAGGCTGGTTCAGGCTTTCTGGGCCCAAAACAGAGTGCCCGGGGGGGGGGGGGGCTCATATGGCATCCGTGGACCACATTTTGACTTCCAGGTTGGTGCAGGAGACCTTCCGGACCTAAAACGGGGCAGGGAGGCGCATGTGCACAAACCCCCAAAATGTGAGCACCTCCCGCACATGCGCCCTGTCGCCCCGCAAACATACACACTTACGTCCCCCGCATGTGACCCGCCCCCAGCGCATGCACGGCAGAGACCCAAAGACCAGCTGGCTGGCTGGAGGCACGTGCGCATGTGCGATGGGGCTGGGGGGACAGCTAGCGTGCCCGCAGAGAGGGCTCCGCATGCTACCTGTGGCATGCGTGCATAAGTTCACCATCACGGACCTAGAATCTGGTTGATGGCACCATCTCTCCTGATGTTATCAGCATTAGCACACACAATATCAACCAAGGGGATTTAAGAAATATGTCATCTTTGCCACAGTACTTACAATTTCGAAGACCTGGATCTTTCCCTAGGCTTGGATGGGTTGGGGGTAGCAGGCTGTTATATCTTATTCCCTCACAGTACAGCCATCATCCTTGTCTGATGTCTTTCTATTACTCTGAGCTTCAATTTGTACACACAAAGGGTGGTTTAGAAATTGGGCAGCTTTATAAAGCTGAACAGTAACCTTAATTAATCAAATCAAACTAAAATAGGGATCCCCGTATCAAAACAACTTGCCTTATGTGCAGCCAGAACCGGACAATAACATTTAACGCAGCAAAGGACTTAAATAAAATAGTTCAGTTGAGATCTGCACATATGGGACTAATTGGGGGGGTAGACTGCAGGGATGACACCCATAACATAATTTTATCATATTTTATCTATATCTTAAAATTATTATATTATATCCCAATTCATTTTAGATTGTATTTTATTCCAATTCCATCTTAAATATATTTTATTCCAATTCCATTTTAAATTTTATTTTATCAAATTTCATTTCATATTGCCTTCTACCAAATTTTAGTAATAGTTTGTTTCTGGAACTTTGCATTTTGATATGGCCCAAGGGCTAATCAATAAAGACTCAATGTCTGTATCATTCAGGACAAATCAAACTAAAATAGAATAAAAAGAGACTGGGGGATTCTGGGAGTTGAAGCCCACATGACTTTTAGTTCCCAAGGATGAAAAACCTGGCCTAAGACAATGGCGTTCCCTAATCTTTGGAAGAGATTTGAACTCTGAACACATCTCCCTTTGGAGGCATTTCAAAGTTGCTTTTTGGCTGGTTTGAAGAATATGGGTTGTCCTCAACTTATGACCCCAAATTTCTGTTGCTATTGGAGACAGACGCTAAGTGAGTTTGGACCCATTTTACAACCTTCCTTGCCACAGTTGTTAAGTGAATCACTGGTTAGTCACACGGTGGTTAAGTGCACCTGGCTTTCCCATTGACTTGGCTTGTCAAAAGGGGATCACTACAACCGTCATAAATATGAACCAATGGCCATGCACCTGAATTTTGATGATGTGACCATGGGGATGTTGCAATGGTCGTAAGTGTGAAAAGTGGTCATAAATCAACTTTGAACGGTCACTAACTGTTGTAAATCAAGGACTGCTTGTATTCTGAAAACCTTGTACTATTTGGTGATTTTATGCAGGGTATTAAGAAGAATGGGAAGTGGATGGACGTCGTAGTGATCAAAATTGGATTTTTTTTAAAATCAGAATTTCTTCCCCAAACCCAACTCACATCATGGCCACGTTGCTACCATCAATAATGACCATCCGCAAATTCTTCTTCCCAGGTGTGTTGGCCAACTTGAGCTTGAACTTCGTCTGGAGAGCTTCCTCAAAGCGCTGAGCTCCCGTTACCGTGGAAACAGAGGCCTGGTGAAGAGCTTCCATTTTGGTGCTTTCGGCTGACTGGATCTCCTCAGGATCCGATAGGGAGGATAAAAAATTAGCCTTGGGAGAAACTCCAGGATGACTTGCTGAAACATGGGCACCTTTGTGATTCGAAAGGGCGCCATTGCACCTTTTCCCTGGAGGAGTCCTCGGCGGAGAAGATTCCCCGTGATTCAAAATGGTTGCTCTCTGGATGCCAGACTGACCTCCATGTTCTGGCTTTGTTGATGATCCGCCTGTTGGACTCTCACTTTTGTTGTGGAATTCCCCTTTCTCATTGAGCTGCCTCAGGAGACTCGCCAATGGGGCTCCTGCTTGTATCTCTGTGGGGATCTTGCTGGGACAATGGCCGCAGTTGACCACTGCCGTTTTGATCAGTTCCTGGACATAAATGTTTTCATCGTACGTGTCTTCCAGAGACAAAGCAGCGAGAGCTTGCCGTTCAGGCTCTCCCTGAGACAGGGAGGTGTCTTCGTTTTGAGACAAGCCTGCCGCCATCATCTGGACTCTATCCAAGATGGTTGAAGGGGCTTCTTTAACTCCACCCTCCAGTAGTATCTTTTTGACCACGTGCTCTTCGTAGCCCATCGTTTTGAAGAAGTTTAGCCTCATTTTGAACTCTTTTTCGCTCCACGATGACAGCAAAATGTCAGACGTTGCCTCTCCCTCTCCCTCCCCCTCCGTGGTTTCCTCGGGCAAACTAACGGGACTCGATCCTGTTGCCCAAAAGGGATCCTTCTCTCCTGCCTGATGATCCTCCAAGCTTTCCTGGAGGCCTTCATATCCAGGTAGAATCTGACCCTTGGATTTAACTAGAATCGGCTTGGAGGAACTCTTGGGAATCCCAGAATTCTTAGTGGCCATGGCTTCAAGCCAATGCCGAGGATCATTCAAGACTGACAGATGTCCCTGTGGCTTGGGGTGCAATTGGGATTTCTCATCGGAATTTCTGAAAAGGTCATCCCGTGGGACATGAAGATGTTTTGGGTCTTGAGATTTCGCATCCACAGTAGGCAAGTCCGCTGTGGCATCCCAAGGCCTAGCGGAGTACGGTAGTTGCATCAAAGGAGCAGCTTTGTGAAGAGATTCTTGTGGCCTGGTAAATTCCACAGGCCAGTCATGACCGGAGCCTCCAGTTCTATTCTCTTCCTGGATTTGACTGAGTTCTTCAGGTATGTCAAAGGCAGACTGAAGCCGATCTGGAGTCCCAGATCCGCCATTACTCACAGCGTTGGCTTCCCACCGTAGTGAACAATCTATCCCGAAACCGAACGGTGTCCTGTAGCCATTCCTTTGCCCCCGTGTGTTATCTTCCTGAATCTCCTTGACCAAACCCAGCAACTCCTCTTTGACCGAGGTGGGCAAGATCAAAAGATCCATAGCATGTTTGTCATCATATTTCTCCACCAGTTCCCGAAAGGACCGCTTCACTTGAGCTTCCCGTTCCTCTGGAAGCTTGGGGTTCTTCTGGTGTTTCCCCACAAATTCCTGGATCCTGCTCTGAGCCATGACAAAGGCTTCTGCCAACCCTGAGATCAGCAGCGTACCCGGGCGGAGAAAGGTGAGGCTCGCTGACGTCCCTCGAATGAGACAATCCAGAAATAACCCATGTGCACCTAAGAAAATGCACTGCATATCTTTAGGGTACTGTATTTCCTCCTGAACCTCTGGGCCACAAAGACCTTTAATGTATTCCTGGAAAACACAAGAACGTACAATATAGTCATTCCTCAAAGGTCTGAAACCAGAATAGCTTTTGTTACATCGAAAAAGAACTTTTTCCAACACTACAAAAAATAAAATAAATCCATTTCTGGAAACAGGCAATTTATTCCTAAATCTGTATTTTGGGTCTGTATTTTGGGTTCTGTATTTTGGGTTCATGTTCTGTATGTTCTGTATTTTGGGTTCTGTATTTTGGATTCATGAGCAGATGTATAAACAATGTATCATATTTTTTGGAGTATAAGACACTCCAAAGTATAAGACGCACCGAGCTTTTGGGGAGGAAAACAGGAGAAAAAAATCTGCCTCTGCCTCCCAGCAATTTGCCTCCTTGCAGCAAACAGCCAGTTTCAGTTTCAGCAGAGCCTGATTAGCACAAACAGCTGATTGCCATATCTTATTGCAGCGTGTCCCACTTTCAGTCTCCGCATTCTGTTTTCAGCTTCTGCATCCCCCATTTTTGGCCTTCGCGTGCTCCATTTTCCACCCATTCCGGGCGGTGGGGATCGGAATAGGCAGAAAATGAGGATGAAAACAGGGTGCATGGATGCCAAATATGGGATGCGGAGGCCGAAAATGGGACATGTGGAGGAGGAAATAGTCAATGGCAATCACTGCAGCCTGAAACAGCTGATGGTCGGGAAGCCGATGGGACCAATAATAAGCTGCTTGTGATAATCAGGCTGTGCAGCTTGTTTGCTGGAAAGAAGCTTGTTTGCTTCAAATTGCTGGGAGACAGAGGCCAAAGGGTGGGGGCCAACGGATGGGCATGGCTATATTCGGTGTGTAAGATGCAGCCAAATCTTCACCCTCTTTTAGGGAAGGAAAAATATGTCTTATACTCTGAAAAGTATGGTAATTGTATTATTTCTTGAGTTTGCTAAAAATTGGCATAGTCATAGCTCACAGCACCACTATTTTGCTTCCACTTTGAATAATGCAATTAAATAAATCATTTTATATTATATGCATATGCATATTTATAATATATGTGTATGTGTGTGTATAGATATACATATACATTTAACATAATTCTGGAGGTGGATGCTAGTTTAATAGCAGAAGCCACCTATCCCCGGCAACCTGGTTCTATATTTTCCATCTTTTTTTATAAATCATATTGATGTATTTTCTTTGTTTTCTTTTTGACTGTTTTCTTTTTGTTTTCTTTAGTTGCTTTATTGTTGTTTTACTTTTACTTAGTTTAAGCTTTCTTTTTATATCTTCATTTTTTATGGAAACAGTGTGCGCCACTTATAGTAGGCATATGGCAAGATAGTTAGAAAATAAATTGTAATAACAAAAATAACAATAATACTATAGTAGTAGTAACAACAACAACAACAACAACAAGAGTTTCTGAGTCAAGTTTTAAATCTATTCATATGTATTGTTTCAACTACTTCAAATAAGCAATATTCGCTTAAAATCAGGAGTCGAATTCAGTCGGTTCGTACCTGTTCAGGCAAACCGGATCTTAATTTTGCATCCGGTTCGTTGAACTGGTTGTTGCAAGGATCAGCTGGCCCATCCCACCTCATCCCGCCCCTCCCAGGAGTCTCCACACAGCCCGTTCACCATGCCAGGTAAGTGCAGGGCCCGCATGGAGGGTCTGGGAGGGCAAAAAACCGAAAAAACATTTTGTGCCTCCGGAGGGCGGATGAGGCTGTTTTCACGCTTCCCTAAGCCTCCAGAGATTGAAAAACAGGCCTTCCGGAAGCCCAGAAACGGGCTCATTTCTGGCTTCTGGAGGGCCTACAAAGCCGGGGGAGGCCGTTTTTGCCCACCTGGAGATTTAGGGAAACCTCCAGACAGTGAAAAATGGGCCTACCGAAAGTTCCGGAAGTCTGAAAACAAGCTTATTTCCAGCCTCCGGAGGGCCTCCAGAGCCCAGGGGAGGCTGTTTTCGCCCTCCGGGACGCTTGAAAAAAGACTCTGCAGCCTGGGGAAGGCAAAAATTCCTCTCCCCGGCCAGGTGCAGGATGCCGAGTAGGCCACGCCTACCCAGTAACCAAGCAGAGAACCGGTTGCTAAAATTTTTGAATCCCACCGCTGCTTAAAAATGTTTTTTTGGGAAAACTAAAGAAAACAACATTGAAGCAGTCCCTGCGCTGTGTCAAGTGATCCTAGGAATCCTTGCATAAGCCAATTTTTGTCCACATTGGACTGCACAGAATGACAAAGCACAGCGTTACGTAAATAAGGAAGTGCCTCTGTTTATGCAGCACAGATAAAGCAAGTGGTGTAAATAAGGAAACACAGTTCATCAAATTGAGAGCATTGGAAGCTCTTCTATTTCCCCCCCACCCAAAAAAAACAGTCCCCAAACGTTTTGCCCCCTTTTCCTGCAGTGAAAAAATAAAATGAAAATTGTTCAATGTGAAGACCCTTTTGGTGAAGCAGATTGGAAACTACGCTAAATTTTGAGGGATGATTCTAACCTGCTTGGCCAAGGAGGAAATTTATGGGAATTAAATGAGATTTCTCAAAAGGCCAGAATAAGATGCCCTGTTAATAAATCTGGATAATATTAATCCACCTTGGGCTTTCACGTTAAACATTTCTTCCCAAAGTTGGAGGAAAACACACCAATCAGTACTGTCTCAAAAGTTCTTTTCAAAAGGCAACTGGATTTTTTTCGGGCCGGGGGGGTGGGGGTGTTGTCATGAAAATGTTTTGTTTCTTAGCCAATAAGCTTTTTCAGTTCTGACTGAATGGTGGGGAATGGAAGGATTTATATTCTTTGCAGTTGTGGCCCACCAGCAGCCAGCAGAGCTGGCAGCAGATTCAGACAGTGAGGAGTTTGGGGAGGGACACGGGCCAGTCCTGGAGTCTGGGGAAGGCTCTGAAAGTGCTCTGCATTGGAGGCAGAGATGGGACTAGAGCCATTTTCAGGTTATCAGCTGCCTTCAGAGTCAGACATCAGTGAGGCAGACGAACAGCTGGAGCCT